TATTCTCATACTACACAGTCATACATTTTTATTATTACATTCTTTTTATCTTATTTAGTGATATTTTTTTAAATACATTTAATTTATAACATTGAAAGATTGTAAATGTGTAAAGCTCAGAACGGAAGCAGGTTATAAATGAATAAAATAATCAAGGAATAAACACCACACCACACATTTTCCCACATAGTCAAGGTGTGTTCAAAGCATAAATAAATATACAAATTTAATGATTTTTATGATTAGAAATGTACTCACATTAATTATAATATAATTTCATTAATTAGCTAGTAACGCTGGTCACTTTAGGCTCTTAGCTAATTTAAAATCATGTAAAATATTTAAAAGTCTAATGCAAGTAAGAACATAGTAGAAATAAAATTCGGGAGGGAAAGGAAAAATATAGCAAAGAGAACGGTAGGGTTTACGATGACCAGTGTATCTTGCTGGCCCTAAAAGTATCCACATTATAAAATATAGATTAACCCGTATTTGATTAGTAAACCAAAGCAATTGTTTCAATTAATTATTCTTTTTATCTAAGGTTTTTGATTGGGATGAAAAATTAGTATCACAAGCGGGATTCGAACTCATGGCCTTCTGCTCAATACGTTGCTGCTCTGACCTACTTGAGTTATCGGGACTTCGATACCCTCGGACAAAAACCCTTCATTTCAACTAACAACCGTTCGAATTTTTTGACCATATTTCAAATGTCGTGTAATCAGCCGAAGGTCGTTTGTTCGAAGCCCGCTCGTGACACTGACTTTTTCACCTCAACCAAAAACCTTAGATAAAAAGAATAATTAATTGTAATTATTTAATTATGACCACTTAGCAAATTTTTATTAATTTTATAATTTAAAAAAGTAATTACCTCACTAACAGCTCCCCGTGGGCACTTCATAAGAATTCGCTGGTAAACGAATCCTGATTTCATGGCACTTGAAAATATGACAAAAAGAGGGAAAATTCGATCGGTTGTAAAATTGAAGTGAGGAGTTGGTGTCCGAGTGGATGGAAGTAACGATAGCTCAAGTGGTTAGAGCAGCGGGGTATTGAAGCTGAAGGTCGTGGGTTCGAATCCCGCACTTGACACTGACTTTTTCATCTCAACCTTCTACAAAGAGGATAATTAATTCGAACAAAATATTGAGCTTTTAAAGGCTTACTATTTTTTTTCCCTGCAGGGTCTCTAAAACATTTTGTTTCTATGTTTTGTGTACATATATGTATATAATATTTTTATTTTCAATTATTTGAGTAGGACAGAAAATAATAAGATTACTATGAATCAAAATCATTAATTACGATTAATTTATTAAATAAATTAACTGCAAATTTTGGTTGATCAGATAATTTTGGATTGTTTATTATATTGCTTAGTGATTCTTCACAATTTATTCTTTTTGTTACTATCTTCCTCCCAATTTCAGTCACTTTAAAGTTTATAACATATAAATTAAATAACGAATTGTCTATATGTTATAATGATAAATATCTTCGACTTATAAAATCATTGCCTTCTGTTAAAAAAATGTCATTCAATACTGACTTTCAGTTGACCAATTTTTTATGGTGTCTGTCTAACATGACGGTGAAGTATCACGTCCCAGCAGTGCAACAAGGTTTGCCACGTCACCGACTGGGCTTTTGATTTCTTTTCACAAATCCGGGCGGTTTTCTGCTTTCCAAACGTTTTGTGTTTTTTCTTTTTTGTATGCTTAAATAGTCCCATAGTATCATTGTAGACAAGACGGATATCACGACACAGTTTGTCTGGACCTCTTTTGTTCCAGCTTGTTGTTATGGAACTGAAGTCCGTTGCATATGAGCGGAATTCATCTACTTTTTGTATAACTACTTGATCGCTTGCAAACATAAGTTGGTCCATTGAATGTAAGGATACGCCAGGAATTTTTCACATTGCCTACCACGGCACGTCGTCGATGTAGATGTAAAAAAGTGATAAACAACATCCTTATTTGATACCTCGAGTATTTTATGTCGGCTCAAGCGATTTCATCCCGTCATTGATGAAGATTTCTGTCATCTCATGAATGTTCTTTGCTACTCAAATGAACTCACTCTAATGCTTCATTAAAAGTTTTTGTTCACTTTGTCAAAGCTCTCTCACAATCAATAAACGTGATATGTGTTTGCAGGTTAAACCCCTGCGTCATTTTAGCTTTCTTTTATATAAAATAATCAACATTTTATAAGCCTAGATTGTTCATTAACCACAACCGCTTCAGATATAATCTTAAAATAGTTGATAATTTTGCGCCTTTCTGAGATAAGATCTGTTCAGAAAACTTGACCTAAGTTAATTTTTAAAGTCATCCTTCGTAACAAAGAAGTTACTCCTGAAAAGAAAGTTTGACAAATGTACAAACAATATTCTTTCAGTTTTTCATAAAATTCGTTCTACGTAAGGTCTTGGTTGAGACGTAGTGTCACGAGTGGGATTCGAACCCACGACCTTCGGCTAAATACGCCGCTGCTCTACCACTTGAGCGATCGTGACTTCGATTCTCTTGGACGCCAAATCTCCATCACAACCTAGAACCGTTCGAATTTTCCCTCTTTTTTGCCATTTTCAATCTCAACCAAAACCTTACGTAGAAAGAATAATTAATTGAGGGGCGTCTATGGCCGCAACGGTTTAGACGTTGACACAGCGCTCATCACTGTACGGTAAAAGTCCCGAGTTCGAATCTAGCGGCCCTGCATTCAACCCAACATACAATTTTTTTTTCAAAAACCGGCATCCCGAGGTTGATATTACCTCTGCTGTTGCGAACCCTCGTAAAAAAAAAATAAATAAATAAGAAGCATATATTAAAGGGAAACAACTTTGAGCTTATTGTGTAAATTGTCAAATAAATTTGTGAAGGCTATATCGACTATGTATTTAAATGCAATTATAATCTCTAATAAATCTCACTTTTTCTTGGTTAGTTTTATCATTCAAATTTAATGAAACTTTCTGTTCCTTTTAAAAAAAGAAACGAAGAAAATTAAAAAGTAAGAAATAAGAGAAACACATATTATTAAAATTTTAAGCAGTCATAATCATTTTGTATCATTTTGCCAAATCCCAGCTTAACGTTTTGATCTAGTGTATTCCAAGAGCCTTCTTCCCTAGAATTTTTTTTTCAAAATAGGATGCTTTTAGATTATCCTTCAATTTCGATAAATGGTTTAGTGTGGTTTTGTTATGTTTGACAACCAAACTATATTTTCAACATTGATATTATCAACTTTATATTCAAATTTTCCATCTAGGTATCAAAAGCACTCTCTACTGTCATGTTATATCGTTGCATTGAGTGTAGTTTCTTTGGATTTATTATCATCCAAAGATTGTGTTTTGCAAGATGAGCTTGTTTTACTTTTTGACCTCTGTTTTTTTTCCAGCCCCGAGCGCATAAGAAATATAACAACTAATATTTAGTACCCATTCGCAAAATTAAATACATTCACACCTATATACATTTCATCCATTCTATCAAGTAGATGGAGTACTCAATTTTCCTCCATCGACCTGCGTACAATAATAAACTAATTTAATTGGGTCGATGGGGTACGTTTATACAAATTCCGCCATCGACCCAAGTAACGTACACAGCTCGAGGGGGGATGAGGATGCTGTTGTATCACAATCAGCCCCTCCCCATTCACTCTAATAAATACACTCACTCATAAAGACCAAATACATTAATATGCAAGCTAGAAATACATTAATAATAGCTATGTAGAAAATGATTTCTTTTTAAAAAAATATATACTTTTCTTGTACTTCAAATATAGTCTTACTCGTTGTAAGTTAAATCCGTACGATTTTTAAATAATGTGAATTTATCTGTCTTTTGTTTTGAAACACTACTTATTTATTCATTTTTTTTTAAACACAGGGGAAAGGAATAATTTAAGCTGTATTTATTTTTCAGTTTAGTTCGAGATCTCGTTATTATTACAAGGTGATTTCCTAATTTAAAATCTAGATAAAAAGTAATTTTTCATGATTGCATGACTGTTTTTTCATTAATTCAAATGGAAAACCGCAGTTTAGACTGTTGTGATGTGTATTGTGATGATGGTTTAAGAGAAAGCACTAACAAGAAAGAAAGACAATTTGAGTTGGAAGACCCAACACGCTACGTTATGGTCAGTTTTCAATCATTGGTAATAAATAATTTATCGCTTTTGCTACAAATCACTCAGCTCACCGGCAGAAGTCATTTCACAGGCACTCAAATATTTCAAACAAGAGTTTCAATCCATTTGAGAGCAGGTGAATAAGTTTGTCGGAACGAAATAAGAGCTCATATTTCGACTGAGAAGAATTTATTGGGCCAAACATCCATCAGCGATTCCCTGCCTAACACTACTCGAAAAATCAAAATTAAAAATATCTTTAACGGACATGAATATTGGCTTCATACAACGATGTTCAGAGAAAAAATTCCTGCGAAAAATGTAGCGCCGCGTCGTTCATTACTTCAAAACCCGATTACACGCTAAGAAGTAATTTTTAGTCAGTTTGAAAGGTCGTTATTTAGTATGAGTTTCTTCAGCCCAACTAAACCGTTAATTTTAGTGTATACGACTCACAAAAACAAGCGGCATTGGCTAATCTCATGGAGATTGTTTCCACTTGGGTAACCCGGCACCTTGGCTCAAGAAATTATTGAAACCTGACTGGGATGTGCATCCACAACCACCTTATGTGAAGTAGGATGCTCTTTCAGATCGCACTTATACATAAAATACATTGAAGTGTTTATTGTTCAAACCTGAGAAGTTTTTCTAGGATGGATTCACAAAATTATAATGGGAGATGTAAACAGGGAATGTAAGAGAATATGCTTAAATTATTTATAAATAAATGAAAATTTAAGAGTATTTATCTATAAAAAATTGCTACGGTTCGTAAAGGATGATTTAACAACAACGTTAAACAATGATTTTTATTTTTCATAAAATAAATGGAAATATTTAATAAACGACACTTTTCAATTTTTTATTATTATTTACAACTGTTGTTCTCCCTGATATAAACCTTAGAATTATGATCCCAGATATTATAGGTAACTTATTGTCAAGTTTTAAAAACTAACTAAAGTTTTATTTTACTTACATCATTAAAATATATTGCTATATTACTGCCTAATTAATACAAACTATTGAGAAAATATAATTATTTGGTGGTAAGTATTGTTCAGGGAGAGTTTAAAGCTAGCTTGGCTAAAGTCAATACAGGTACTTTTTTTACAATTAACTAATAAATACAATTTATTACAATTTTATCAATCACAAAATAAAATTTCTTCTTGAAATTCATAATTTACATTCGACAGTTTTCGATATATCATCAGTATCAATTAATACTGAGAAATAAAATTAGCAAACTGCGGTGAAATTTTTTGCTTCTGAAATCCTTCCTCAAGGAAGAGATATTACAGGAGTGTTGCAGCGTCACGTAGACTGGTAACGGGTCGTTATCACAGTTATCTTGTCACAGTATCACAGAATGGACGGCTTGTTGAGCAAGCTGAGCACCTTCACGGACGGCAGGGGGCAGCCAGGATAAAAATTGTGGCAGCCGGTGCCCTCGACTCCTGAAATCAGCTGGCCCATGTGAGCAGCAAAGTGGTACCTCGACACTTCGGCTGTCATCGATATACTCGTATCCCTAAAATAGACATGAAAATGAGATTAATTGAAATGAATATCCTGTAAATTTGATCCTTAAAAATAATACAAAGCTATCCCGCTTTACAATAAAGCTACAATTGATGTTGTAGTGAGGAACAAAAGACCTAAGTCTCATATGGTTTTGTTAAGAAATTTCATCAACGGAGACAGGCGGACTACCGTCTTCAAATTTGTCAAAACGGCGTTAATTACATAAATTTCGGACAATGCTCGACTCGGCCCATTGTCGAAGGACTATGACGGATCAAGGAGTTAAAGACACCCTGGGGACACAATGGTCTTATCTGGAGACAAAGCAATACCGCCTGCTTAATCGCCCCTATCTCTCAAGTACCTATAAAGCCCCTAGGGACCGTCAATCTTGGCCAAACAGTCGATACTAAGACGCTATTTTCGAATATGTTAATTGTAACTTTTTCACGTTTTCTTTTGATTTTTAAAGTTAACCTAGTTTTTAAAATAACAAATATTTTTATTATTAACCAGACGCCACAAAATCCTTGCTTGAAATGAAAAATTGATAACTAAAAAAACACATTCATTTCACTGGTTTATGATTTCCGTTGTTTCCATGCCACGTGAACTAAAATCAAAAATAAATCTTGCATTTCTATTAAATCAAATACAATATTATTATTATTTGTAATGTTATTAAAGGTTAAACACCTTATAAGTTGTAAAAGGGACTTGGCTTTTTGATTTAGCTTTTCCTTCTCAGGTGAAGCGTTCAGCTCGCAAATCAGCTTCGGCAGGCAGGAGTTTTTTACAGCAGACGTCAATTTTGCTAGCTTATCCCTGTCTGAAAAAAAAAGATCGTATTTATTAATCTTCCTTTATATAATTTAAATTCATAAAATCTCAGTATAATATAATTACAAAATATAAAATTTGGTACTAGTTATATTTAAAATTTTCAACTGATTTGTATGTTCTTTTGCGCATGTTTTTTCCATATTTATCAAATCATCATGCACATTTTAAAGAAGTTGAAGGCTAAAGTTAAGATTGAATTTTAATTTTGCAGTCATTTCAAATAAATAATTTTTGAGGAGATCTTTTTGTAATGTGAACACTTGCGATGAGCGTTTTGAACATTACGAGGTGGTAGAGTAGCGGCGTATCTAGCCGAAGGTCGTGGGTTCGAATCCCGCTCGTGACACTGACTTTTGTATCTCAACGTAAAACCTTAATTAATTGAATGATATTAATTAGTCAAGCGGACCACGAAACTAATGAATTTAATAAGTTTTAATGAAGTGTACTTTCCCTAAAGCTCTCCGTTGCCATTTCATTTGTCGCCGAGAATCAAATAGATTACACGAACATCAGTTAGTTAGTGTAGTGAGTGGATCGAGGTCACGATAGCTCAAGTGGTAGAGCAGCGGCGTATCTAGCCGAAGGACGTGGGTTCGAATCCCGCTCGTGACACTGACTTTTGTATCTCAACTTAAAACCTTAATTAATTGAATGATATTAATTGGTAAAGCGGAACACGAAAAACACTGGAATTACGAGGTATTTTAGGATTTTAATATTGAACTGTATTCACCATTTATGTATGTGCAACGTTGAAACAGTTCATTTTTTAGTACACCAACTCTGAAATTAGAAAACATCAAACAAGAAAGAAGTAGAAGTTTAATTTCTCGTTGGCCTATCCTCTCAGCAGAGGGTGAATCTTAAGTATCTTTTCGTTTATTATTTCCTTGACATAATTTTTTGAAGAGGGAGGCAGATTCTTCGTAGTTCGTCCTTCCATTAACTCTTTTATAGGTTTTGGACTCTCAGAAAATCAAAAAATGGGCGTTTTGAAGGTATTGACCGTTGTTTGTTTTTGATCATTTAGGATAGACCATCACTAATTGCCAAACGTAGTAATAAAATTATTCCAATCCGAGAAATCAATTCTTAAAGTGAAGAAAACTTGGATTAAAGACAAAAGTGGTACTTTTAATCTATCTTCTTGGAGATAATTGACGTTGGCCTTTCCTCCGAAGGAAGTAGTGTCGCAACAGTAGGTCAAAAGTGTGTCAGAACTGCCGAAGGACGAACACGGTGAAAAACCCGAGTCCGTATCGTTTCTCAGTGCCAGCATTGGAAAACGGCAGCGTAAAAGTACAAAAGCCGCTGGAACGACTGCTTTTCCCAGCGAAAGTTTTCGTCTTTGTCGTCCTGGTAGCTGGAAAAATCGTGCCCCCGTGTCTAATCCTAGCTTAAATCAGTTCCTCTACGTGCGGCGACGTTTCATAAACGAAAGTAAAATGTTAACATACGAAAAAAAGGAAACATTTCCGCGCCTTAAACGTACGGATCGAATACGACTATTCAGCCCATTCGCCGACGTCCTTTTAACTTTTTATATTTTAAAGAAAATAATAAAAAATAAAAGAAATCCAGGAAAGTCATGCAAGCAGCTGTAAAATATTTGGTTCCAACTAACACGTATGAGTACGATAATACATACAACATAACACGAAAATAAGGTGAACCTGTCCTTTTACAACATTTATTTATAATTATTCANATGTTTCTGAAACAATCTCTGAAGATGATCTCAATAAAGATCGAAACGTTGGGACGATAAAGAAAATGTCTTTCTGAAACCTACATCACACCAGACCGCATCTCACGATTTCTGAATAATTATCGACTAACGGTCCCTACTCACCACACACTTATTCATAGTTTGAAAACAGCATAAAAAGCTTAAACTCTGCATTCGTTTATGATCTTATTTAATTATTGAATAAAAAATAAATATCTTTCTTAAGGTTCATCAAAGCAACATGACATGTAAACATCATGTCCGTGAAATATTGACAGATGGGTAAAAGAGTCTTATGTTTATGTTTACAAATTTGCTTTGCATATTTCTATTGTTCAAAACGTGGTATGTCAAAATTTTATATGGTTCAGATCATTCATTCTGATTTCAAAAGATAACTGTTTTTCATTTAATTTTTTATTGTTTTTTTAATTTTTGACGTTCTAAAGCACCCGTCATCGTCAATATGTTATGCTTAGAGCAAAGGCAGACGTGAAACAATCGCTCATTCGTCAGGGCATTGAGAAGCGACCAACTGGGATTCCTTGTGGTGGACATCCCCTAATTTATCAACGCTGACCAGAATTCGTCACGGCCTGAAGGATCTCAAAATGTGCATAGTACGAAAAAACTATAACAACTGACAAAATCTAAACAGCAGTATTGTCAAAATCGCCAGAAGCTTAGAGTGGCAAATGACTTGATAAATGCGTTACAGCAACGCTTAAGTTGTAACTTCCAGTCATACTCCGAAGTGTCATTTCTTAATGTAGAAAATTTTGTACCTGTTTTTCCAAGCATATTTTTTTAACAGAAATGCAAAAATAAAATAAAATGAAAACAATGCAAAAACTGTAAACTAACATGTTCATTACAATAATATGTTGTTGCAGTTTTTTTGCTGATATTAAATGGCCTTCATTATATTCGTATTAAGTAGCGATTAGTTATTTGTAAAAAAAAGAGACAGGCAAGGAAGTGATAGTTTACGTAAGTCGGTGCCCTGTCATATCAGGCAAACCTATTTTCATCTATTTTCCCGGCAGATGCGTTTTGGACATTGTTTTCTAAGGTTATCTTTTTTTTTGTCCCCAGAAGTAAGTCCTTTGTATAAGTTGTGATGTGCTTCATGGTTCCAAAACCATGATTAATCATCCCTACAATGGGATATTGATATTAAATATAACTATATGTTTTCATTGTTTTTTGTTTTCCAAATGGAAGAAGATTTTCAAAACGAGCCAAACCTATTTATAATAACTTGGAGATTGTGCATTTGGTGAAATCGTCGGAGGTTTTATAATCATTTTCTCTCTTTCGATCACGGAAGTGCTTACCCGTTGCGCAACCTTACAATCGGATGGAATTTGAATTTCGGGCGAAAGGTGAAAGCAGCGACTGGGGCCGAAAGGACGGCCAATGAGAGCGAAAGCGCTTTGTCGTGCAAAGGGAAACCATTTAATTAACCCTCCTTGATGAATCGGAGTGGAAAAAAAGGATTTTCCACACTTTTCGTTATTGTCCTTGCTGACAAAAAGATCAGAAAACTAAGCAATTGGACGACAAACGATTTTGCCTTAGTCGAGATTAAAAAAAAAAGCGGAGCAAGGCTGATGCTGCGAATAGGTCACTTGGCACCGCCTACGAAGGCCTCGAATCTAACCGAAACATATTTTTTAAAAGCATTAACAATAGAATATCTACAAATAACTTTTTCAATTATATAAAAATATGGCCAAATTTTTAAATTTTGAATTTGCAGTTTCGCATGTTAAAGCCTCCATTAAAGAAAACATTTATTAACAGTCTTCATGCAAACCTGAAAGACAGAATTGCGTCATTGTGTAAGGCGTCCTCGAAGGATAGTAAATAAATTATGAAATTTTGCGCTAAAAGAAAAAGGAAACAATCTACCAGGATCGTTTGTCTTTCGTTACCAAAGGAATTTCTGTTTTTTTGTTCTTCAAATGCTAACTTTTAAGTCCGTCGAACTGTAAAATATCCGATGAATACTGAAACGTTTAATGAAGATGCTTTTTGTTTTAATCAAACTTTTTATATAATTATTTTATTATTATAAGAAAGCTTATAACGTCCAAGGCTCGAATAAGTTTAAAAATTCCGAATCAATCATAAAAATTTACATAGAAAAACCATTAACTCGATAGACTATTATTAACTATTCGACACAAATAATTAAAATTAGTTTCTGGGTTATATTATTTAAAATCTTAACATAATTTACTAGGAAATTATTCTTAGATTTAAATTTGGCCCTGTACGTTTTTCGGTGGAGTGATAATGATCATAAAAATAATTCAGCGAGGTCAGACGGATCCATTGATGGTGAATGTCGGGTAAATGGTTGGAAACACGTGATTATCGATTTTCACGCCTAGCATACATCAAAGGAAGAGACGTACAACACCCACACGGCAGATTTTCACGTAGTATTTTGATAACCTGTGGCAAACAATGGACTGTGATATAGATGATGTAGTGGTTTTGGCAAAAACATGCAGACGTTTAATGTGTGTAACCCACTGTCAAATAGGTAAAGCAGCGGCGTATTTAGCCGAAGGTCGTGGGTTCTAATCTCGCTTGTAACACTGACTTTTTTATCGCAATCAAAACCTTACATAAAAATTAATTAATTGAAAAGAAGTTGTTTGGTCAAGCGGACCACGAAACCTAATAAATGTAATAAGCAAAATGAAGTATAGTTCACTAAAGCTCTCCTTGGCCATTTCAGTTGTCGCCGAGAATCAAATAGATTACACGACATTTGAAAAATGGCAAAAAGGAGGGAAAATTCAACAGGTGGGGTTGAGCTGGGAAGTTGGTGTCCGAGTCGAAGTAACGATAGCTTAAGTGGTAGAACAGCGGCGTATTTAGCCAAGGTCGTGGGTTCGAATCCCGCTCGTGACACTGACTTTTTTAACTCAACCAAAACCTTAATTAATTGAAAAGAATTTATTTGGTCAAGCGGACCACGAAACCTAATAAACTTTGCTCAAAGTTCACCCAAAACAAAATGGTTATTTGCACAAGCATTTCATCCTGAAGTCGGACATATGTTCTTTGATTAGTCAAAAATTACAAGTTGGTAAATTTATTTGTGATAACCCACAGCGTATTTCAAAGAATACACAAAAGTACAACTCCTGACAAATTGAATCTTCCTGACTGTGTACAATGAAGACGCAACCGACTCATCCATTCGTTTTGCATCCGTCGGTGTAAATTGCATAATT